CATGGCGCAAGTTGAACGAAACCCGTTGGGCGCGATTCGGGCGTGACGCGCGGAGGGGTGTGCTGGAGATGTCTAGAGGAGAAACCAGGTGCTGCATCTCGTGCTGTGTCCGCTGCGTCACTGCAATGTTCATACATCATCAAAGTACACCAATTAGTAAGCTCAGGCAGGGTGCCCAAAGAGCTGATGAAAAAAGAACATCTACAAGGCTCACCATTGATCCATCAATCGGTTTCATGTGTGTGTGTGTGTCTGACCCATGGGATGGGATCCGCCCATGGGATTGTTTCCATGGGATCGGTCGAGATGGACATGCACGAAATGGAAGGTGCTGGAGTGGAGTGATGTAGACTGGAATAAAAACACAAAAAGCAGCATGCCCAGTCACCGTGTTGCACCAGCTCCCTGGTGTGGTGGGGGTTGAGTGCTTTTGAGGTTCTCTTCTTAGAACCGCCAGGAGTCAGGCTTGGCTGTTGCCGCATGGCGGAAGAAGCAAAACTGCAGTCGCTGGCAGCAGCTCCCCCATACATATCCAGGAATCCGGGAGAAAAAGGCATAACATCTTCCTCAGGGGCCTGGGGATTGTTCGTGAAAAAAAGACTAGTAACAAAGGGCATCGCTACTAGGAGCAAGGACGCTACTAGTCTCCCCCCCCGCCCGCTGGTCTCCGGTCCTCACTACCCTAAACCCTAAACCCTGCAACCGATTCGCACGCCGCCGAGTCGTTCGAACACCCGAACGCCCCCGAAAAGGTTCCGCAGCGGCCGAACTGGAAGGGTTTTTCTTTTTTTATACTTGTTACTAGTAGCGAACAGTGTTACTACTAGTAAGGCACTTGTTACTAGTAGCTATATAGTGGTTAGATAGAAACGGAGTCCTGTCTACATTCTCTACCTGGGGATCTACGAACTTCTTATGCAAGGGCTGTAAGAGTGTCTATACCAGCACCCGACTCTATAACAGGTCTCCTAGTTTCAGGGTTGGGAAGGGCCTAACCATTGGCGACCGTAACTTCGAGTCGGGTGCCCGGAACCGCAGACTCGACAGGACATCGAAGAATTACACCCCAAATCAGGATGGGTTTGAACGACATGTTACACCCTGATCTTCTTCCCTCCGTCCCAAGTCTTCGAGCCCTTCCGTTCCCCCCAATCCTCATCCGATGCGAGCCCACACACTCAACAGGCTCCCCAGCCACCACAGGCTGAAACGCTGGCAGCCAGCCCTGGTAGGGGTCAAGACCCCAACTGGCAAAGAAGGCTCAGAAGAAGCCGACTGGCTAGGACGACTAGATCACATGGAAAGTCTTCGAAAAGCTTTGGAGATTGGATGAGATTGTTATTTCTGATCGTTTTGTTGTGGTTTTAGTGACCTGACCCGCTTTCGACACTCCTTCCTGAGCAAAAGATCCATAAACTAGCTGTACTCGACAGTGAGGGCAGCATCCACATGAACGAACCCGTGTCCGTACAAGCTCGCGCATCAAGAAAACTCTTGTTTTGAGTGAGTCATAAGAGTCATACTGATAAGAGGTGTTCTTCGATGTATATCATCAAGAGTCATACTCTTGACCATGGCGTCTTCCATATCAAGTCATTCGCCTCTTGGCCAATCGCCGTCGCGTCGCGTCGTGCCGTCCTCCAGTTGCAAGCTTCGATAGTACTCGACGGTGGCGCTATCACTGAAGTGCACGGACAAGCCGCATTCCCCTCCGCGGCAGACGAGCGGAGAAGATGTCACTGGTGGTCTTGACACAATCTGATCCGAGGAGCCAGGGGACGTTGAAAGAGAAGGCTGCCCGACTTCCTATAAAAGCTGGTTTTAATTGGGAGGCGGTAGGAAGACCCCGTCAATCTCTTTCAACTAAATGGGTGTGTCCTTCCCTAAGTAGGAAGACCTCGTGGCCCAAGGGGTCTCTATCAGGGACCGTTTGACAACGTGCCAATCCACTTGACCGATATGATCTGATGTGGCCTGAGCATCGTGCGTGCAACTGGCAGACATGCAAAGAGCATCATGTGGCGTCCCGGTCACCCAAAAGTGCCATTGAGTAAAGTGCCGATCTATCACAAGAGCAAAGGCAAGAAACCGCTAGCGAAGGCTAGTGGCTAGTGTGATGCACGACCATGTTTCGCACCAGGCAGCAAACGGAGCGATGGAGTCATCATTTGTGACGCTGATCAGCAAAGGTCAGCGAAGGTCAGCATGCCTTGCTTTGTCATGGACTCTGCCGCACTAAGTACTCACTATTGCCGTGATGTTGCGGTACAATTTGTTTGTTCCATCGATGCGCGTTGCAAGGTCGAAGCCATACCGGTATGCATACCTACCACCCCCTACCCACCCCCTAACACCCACTTCGGCGCCTGCAAGGTGGGAGGCGGCCGCCTCCGCCGCGGTGCTTTCCTGAAACTCCACGAAGCAGCTGGCCTCCCGCGCTCGGGCTCCGCATCCGACTCCCCGACTCCGGTGCAATCACCGGGGACGGCGGTTTCGGAAGGCGGTTTGGTTCGGTGGGTTTGACCAGGGTGCGATGAAGGTGCAACCAGCAGGTGTTTCTTCCGATGCAAAACGTCTGAACTTGGCTGATTTTAGAGATGAAAAGGCAAACATGTTGCGTCGTTGGAGGATCTAGGTATAGAATGATCGAGGCTTGGACTTAACAGTCGTCGTTCGTCTAGGGAGATCAGAAGGGGAATTCGGAACATTTGGTAGTGAGATGTCGGGAGGTACTGTGGGAGATCATCAATTGGGAATATGCTTGAGGATGAGCGAGTCCTGATCTATCCCTGTCTGACTGTTGACCCACCATGTCTTTCAGTGCTTGGCTTTGAGACAGGCCCTGTACTGTCAATAACAGGATGTTCGCAAAAACCATCTCAACCAACAGGTCAAAGCACCTTAGAACTCGAAAACCCAGTCCAAACCAGAAGCAGTTCTGGATGGAACTCCCAGTCTCAGCCACTTCCGATGCAAGGGGTCTCAAGCAAACCTTACTATAGTTGGTATATCACATAAATTATACTGGCCCTGTGGTTCTTTCTGTTGGGCGGTTTCAAGGTCTCAAGCAAACCAGGAGTCCCCAATAGACGGCCGCCGTCTGTCCTCTTCGGTCGCGCTGGCGGTGGTCCCAACGATTCCGACTCCGTCCGCATGGAGTCGGCAGTGTGTCTGGAAGTTCCTCCCAAGATCTAAAGATGGCTCCATCTGGTGAAGGTGCGTCCAAACACCTTGATATATATATATATATATATATCCTGGAAGTCCAGTTCGACCATTGTTAAAACGGTCTGACGAACGGTGATCTGAGTGAAAAGGAACTTTTTGGAGTTGGGTGGTGCCGAAACTAGTCTTTGGACTTCTAGGGTATACGTATACATCAGGAATCATTAGTTAATATTAGTTATAGAGTAAGGTGGTTGGCATGGGTGGTGCAAGGATCTGATCCTCCTCGTTCATTCCGTGAATCGTCCTCTTTGACCATCGGATTTTGGAGTCGAAACAACGGAGGCTCCGGAGCACTCCATCCGGCGCCGGACGGTGCGCCGGGAACGCGTTCCCGCCTCCACGAAGACATGGCGAAGCACTGCCTGGGTCGGACTCGAAGACTTGAATAGAGGGACCTCTAAAAGTGAAGAGCTTGTTGGTGTGTCCTTTTTTTTGAATGTTTGCCCGCCACTTGATTCAGGCTATAGCTAGCTAGGACGCAGGATAGCTAGGACGCTTGGACTGATGTGGACACATCACTTGGACTGGATGCCAACCGGTGCAGAACAGGGTCGAGCTTCGGTCGGGTGGATGGGTCGGTCCTGCGTTCCTGTCGGTCCTGCTCCCTGTTGCATCGGTGGTCGTCCGTGGACCTGTCGGTCGGTCCAGACCCGGTGTGCTGCCATCGAACCTCTGAAACCACTGCCAACCGTGATGGTTGCCATGCATTTTCGGAAGTCTGGTTAAGGTAATCCCTTTGAAGTGATGTCCAAAGAGATCAGTCCGGAAGTGAGCCGCTCGAAGATTTCCCAATTCGAGGAAACTACCAGCAGTTCCAAATGTTCCTCTTTGACGGCCTGATGTGTGTGTGTGTGTCACACCCTGGTTCTAAGGGTTTCCACCTGTTTACCTTTCCACCACCACCGAGACTTTCCATCAACGGCAGGGGCGTCAGGCTCGATACACCTACCTGACGCAACGAAGCTCTGGTGTATCGAGGGATGGGTGGACTGATCATCCACCTGTACCTGCTTCAACGGTTGAGCAAGCTGTTCCAATCCTCCTTTTTTGATTCCATGGTAGTTCATGATACTTCCCACAAACCCTTCCACTTTCTCACGCAGCTGCATTGTACAGAGGCTCGCCACCGCACACCTGTCAAAACTTTGTTCAACCATACGGTTTTTGCGGACTTATGCGCCTTTCCGTTCCCTCACCTTCCTTCCCATCGTGACAACTGAGTATAACTGAAAACCCAAGTTCGAAGTGTGGATCGCTCAGTCTTCCCACGTGGGTGCTGGGTGTGACCCTCCGAA